TTAAAAATATAAATATGTATTCATGATTTATTAATTTTTATTTAATGTGTATTAGAGTTTTGCCTGTATAAGGGTGTTGAATCCCCTGGAACTGGAGTTATAGACAGTTGTGAGCTGCCATGTGGGTACCAGGAATTGAACCGTGGTCCTCTGGAAGAACAGCCAGTGCTCTTAACCACTGAGCCATCTCTCCAGCCCCATTTCAGAAATCTATTATCCCATGCTCTAACTTTCATGCCAATTATAACATCTCTGTATAATTATTAATAGGGACAAAAATGCAGCTATGCAAATTTTAACCTAAAAAATACAATCCTAACACACTGAATCTTTTGCCGCTGTCATGAAAACAGACCCAAACGGAAGAGAAACAGTGTGCATTTTTATGGACTCATAAACGCTGGAGCCATATCACTGCCTGCCATCGGTTATCTCAAATGGAATCCAAGCTTTTACAGTCATTTCCTAACTAATGCTGACAACCCCAGGTGTTTCCTGATTTCAGTTGTTCCGACTCCGAACAAAAAAAAAAGAGTAAGTCAGGGAAACGTGTAAAATTCCTTTGTGAGCTTCCTTTCTGTGTAGCAAGCCCATGTTTCAACTCAGTGTGCCGGGAGATTCTGTATCCCCGTGCCGTGTGTGGTCCTTGAGCTCGCGATGTCCCTTCCTCGTGATATGGACCAGCACTCTCTCCTCCCTGTTCTGTCCTGCCACTGCTTCATGCATGTCTCTGTAATTTGCCTTTGACTCACAATTGGTGAGTACCTTTGGAATACAGGATTTCAGCGCCTCCCATTGACTCGATGGGGCTCTTAATGGCTTTTAGTCTCATCAGAGGGTGCATGGTGTTCAACCTGCTGCAGCGAGGATGAGATGGGCAGTAGGAAAGAGTGGTCCCTGGAGGCAGGGTCTGTAGCACTCCCCATAAGGTTGCCTCCTTTAAATTGCCTCCAGTCTCTCACTTATGGAAAAGTGTGATTTGTCTAATTCAGCCAACAACTTTGGAGGACGCAAGCCTATGTGCTTGAATGTCATTGCGGCTGGTGTTCAGGAGGATCAGATGGCTTGTGAAACACTGTCCACAGTGCCAATTACTGGGTCATCCAACTCCCCATGCCACACCGAAAGTGTTGTCAGGAACGCCCTCCGAGTAGCTTCCCAGCTTCTGCGGCTAAAATTGATACTTCATAGCTGCAATTTTGCTATTGTTATGAATCGTAACGTAAATATTTGGTATTCAGGATATCTGATATACAACCCCTAGGAGATCAGGACCCACAAAACCCCAAAGGGCAAAAGCCTCAATTCTGAATTTTACCTATTTATTTAAGTTTGGTCAGGGTTTTTTATTGTTTGCTTGTTTTGTTTCTGATTACTTATTTTGTTTTTTAGACAAGGCTGGACTAGAACTCACAGAGATCACCTGCCTCAGTCTCCTGAATGCTGGGATTAAAGGTGTACACCACCATAAAGGCTTTGCTTGTTTTAGTTTGTGTGTGTGTGTGTGTGTGTGTGTGTGTGTGTGTGTGTGTGTGTGTGGTTTGCATGCATGCAGGTGCCTGCGGAAGCCAGAGAGGGGTTCAGATCCTCTGGAGCTGGAGCTGGACCACTCAATGTGGGACTGGGAAACATGTAGCTCTCTGGAAGAGAGTAGTAGATGCTCTTAACTACTGAGCCATCCTTCCAGCTACCCAACTGAAAGCTCCGAAGGAAGTGGCAGACAAGCAGGAATTTGGCCATAGGAATATGTATTGGCCAGTGATATAGGCTTTTTGTTGTTGCTATTGTTATTTCTCTTCCATGAGAAGGACAATTGGTGTTGATGTGAAATTTTCACGCTTAGGCAATATTTCAAGGGCAGGAGTCTGTTCCACACTCATATTATGAACTATACGCTCTGGGAACAGGGCTCAGTTTGAGTCTTCAATTACTAAAAACAAGATAATATTCAAGTTTTACCTAAAAGATAACAGGAAATGATTAAAAGTTAATGATCAAAGTTGGTCTTATTATGGCTTGTGTGCAGTTATAAAAATTTTAACATGAACTCCAAACCCTTTATTATGCTGCTAAAGTTTTCATTACAGGAAAAACACAAAACAGAGATAATTGAAGAAAATCCCTCTAGCAATGCAAACACTTACACAGTTAATTTCTGTTTACCAGGCACTGTTCCAAATGCATAGAATAACTTCTAGAGTAGATAGGAAAAGTAAGGTGCAGTAAAGAAACACAGAGCCTAAATTCTGGGTTACCAGAATCTACTCATGACCCATGACAACCATTGTTCACATTGAGGGCTACACCCTTCCAAAACTACAGCCACATATCACCTATACATATTTTCTGTCAAATAGGATTCCACTGGTTCATACCATTTGGTATGCTGTTTTGAACTACGTATGAAAAGAATTTAGGATAGCTAATGTAGTAAGGAAACAGTTGCGGCTACATCCTGGTGAAGGCTTTCAAATGAAGCTTACCCCATTCACATTCAAGTGACTTTGATGGGACAATCATCTGAATTGCTGGAAAATTTTTGTATGTTAAATTTTATCACTCTAAAATGGTTCAATAAAAGGTGTGTGTGTGTGTGTGTGTGTGTGTGTAGGTTCTTTTAAATGACCTAAAGGTAATTCTGGAGACCTTCACAATCCATGGATGATGGTGTTGGCCAGAATGGAATTAGTGATTATATGGAGAGGCAGAGTGGACCAGGGGAAAGCCAGTGAACAGTGAGGGTACTAGTAGAGTAGGTGAGCATTTTTCTTTCCCAAGTTTCTCACACAAGTGACACCAGCTAATAACCTGGTTGATACTTGTAGTTAATTACCACTTGGCTCCTTAATGGATCGGAACCAAACCAGACAAGTTAATGAAGTTAATGGGACAAGCTGACTATAGGCAGTATTAATAATAGGGTTAGAGAAAAATGATTACTATTTTAAGTCGTGTTCACTTGCTTCTTTCACAAATGCCTTTTTTATGTGATAAGAAAAACATTAAAAATGAAGGTATGCATAGTAAGTTTTAAATTTTAATTTTAAGGGAGATTCTTGCCTTACATGACAGGCTTTAAGTTTGGGGTGACTGCATGCAATTAGTTTTGAATCCCCTAAACTATTTATCTTTTTATTGTGTATGAAATATGTTTTCTTAATTGACAAAACTATAATCAGGCCTTTATGAGTCTGTTTCTCCATATACTATCATAAGGTTTTCTAGGGGCGACACCCAACCTCTAGAAACTCACAAAGATGATTCCAAATGTGACATTCTAATCTTGACAGACTCAGCTGGGTGAGTTATGTGAAGAAGTAAATCGATCACCAGAGAGATTTGCATTTTTTCTCTTAGGCACATGAGATATTTAGCCTTACTTGATTTCCCTGTTACGAAACTAGCAGAAGTGTTTTATGGGGCTACTGCTCTTGATCACTGGGCTAGGACACAGTACATAATGTCACGAGCTCGATTGTTCTTTACGGACTTGTTTAAGGGGCTGTTCTGCTCTCCCTCTGGGGACCCGTCTTCCTTGAGTGGGGTTTTAGGGCGCTTCCTTCAGTGTCCTCAGAGGATGTGGAGTCTGCCCCATCATTCAGGCCTTCTCCCTTCAACTTCCTTTACTGGTTTCCTTTTTCCTCAGGGACTGTTTATCCTTCACACACCCTGGTGGCCAACTGTCAGGACCCCGAGCTAACAAGTCCAAACCTCTCTGATCTCACTGTTCTGCCCAGTCTCCACTCTGCCCCAGTCATTCCCAGTACTCGCTGTCACATCCAGAGGCGTCACAATGACATAATCAGGTGTGGGTCTCTTTACTCATCCCCTGTAATTGTGCACCACTTTTCGATATGAGGCTAGTGTCATTCTCCCATTCTGAGAAGTTTTACCTTTTCTGTGAATTAGCTAGCGTTTTCTGTTCCTTTCGGAACACTCAGAAGTAGGACATCGTGGCCCTCTTATTCAGACGTACCTTTGCATGCTCGCAAGTGGATGCAGGCCAGCACTGCGTTGACCCCACTCCCATGCCACTGTGGAAAATCTCCTTCTTTTCCTTGAATTCAGAACCAGCAGTAGTTTTCCAACCTATTGGAATCACTCCAGCATGAGGCTTAGGCATGCATTTGAAAGAATGAAATGGGTCAAAACCCAGCTTAACTATATTAACTATGATCACATTCATATAAATCTTTTGACCCTGGATCCCCTTATTTGTGAAGCACCGAGTCCAAGAACACTGTTATTGTTGTCACTGGGATCAAGCAAATAAAGCTTGTCAAATGTCTTGTTAAAATGGTGGGTGCTCAATACATCATGTCAGGATAGCCAACATCATAGCCACGGTATAGCACCCACCCAGCAATGGATCATTCACTTTATGGGACTTGGTTTATCTTCAGAACCTTTTGAGATAAGTATATTTATTACTTGCTCTTAAGCATAACAATCTAACATCTGTCCTCATTTATTTTGCAATATAATATTTTATTATGTATATTTTGTGTGCTTTATAACTATTTACATTTCATAGTCCGGTTTTAAATGTTATTTACCCTGCTTTTTTTGTTAATTATATGTAGTTTTAATAGTTGCATGATAGTCCATTGAGTTGTTACTCTAGGATTTCCTTACACATCCAAGTGTCACTAGATGTTTGCAGTAGCAGAGCCAGCTTTGAGTCTGTTGAGGCTCACTGTTAGATTGCTCCCTACAGGTTCTGACATCTGAGAGTAACATGAGGTAAGTTTTGGCCTGGCTGTGACATTTACTAAGGCATTGTGAGAAACTTTCCTTAAGGAATCAGAAAATTGGCAGTGATTCAATCAACCAAGCAGCTCACAGGAAAAAAAAAAATCATCAAAACAAGTGTGCTAGGAATCACATACAGAGGAACTCAGTTACCATGTGGCTAAGGAGAAAGCACTAACAGTTACAGGAAAAGGACCTTCCAGCTTACAAAGCTGGGGCAGCACAGATTTCAACGTGGCCACACAGACAGGGCTCTATTGCTTTATTGCATTATATATTTGTAGTGATCTGGGTGGGTTACACACATCAAGGGCTTCCTGATTGCCCCGCCTTCCTTCCACATCAGGGCCAGATCTGGAGAACAGCTGTTATACAGGTGAGGCTTGGGTTAATAGACAGTCCTCTCTAATGGAGATCTTCCATCTGTCTAGTGTCTCCTGGAAGGCACACATCTTCCTGGAGGTTGACTTGAAGATGCTGGTGCGGAAAACCTTTGTTCTGCCAGGGCTGCTAAGCTGTGACTCTGGGAAGCTGGAGCGGTTGGTGGCTATCTCCATTGGTCATACAGAAGAAGCCAGCTACTGGAGGAGGAAGTCAGGAAGGCAATAAGAGAAGAAAAGGCAATGGAGTGGTTCGTGCCTTTAATCTCAGTACTCTGGAGGCAGAGGATGGTGGATCTCTGTGAGCTCAAGGCCAGCCTGGTCTATGTAGAAAGTCCCAGGCCAGCCAGGGCTACACAGAGAGACCCTGTCTGAAAATGAGGGAGAGAGAGGGAGGAAAGACACAGCACGTGGTGAGAGAGTCTAAGAAGGTAAGGAAGCCCGTGAGTGCCCTGAGAGACAGTCTGGCTAACACCAGAGGTGACCTACACTTTGCCTGTGGCTTTTTTTTTTCTTTTTGATCTAACTATCTTACTCTAATACCTGACTTTAATCAGACTATTTTAGCCAGCAGACTAAAACACAAACACAGATGTTTCTGTGCCTCTTGAGCCAATGTCTGGCTGTGTTCACCAGGCTGGCCTCGAACTTGGGTTTAGGTCATCCTTCCACCTCAGCCTTCTCTCAGCTGGGTCTAGAGGCACAAGCGACCACACGTGCTCAGCTGGCTACTTCCTTTAAAGCAAGGCCCATCCAGGAGGGCTGGGTGCTCTCTCTCACCTTGTCTTGCTACGCATTCTCCCAGAGCCCTCTCCAAATTCTCTCCTCTTCCGTGCACTCTCTCCTCATTCTGACCGAATCTTGTGGTGTCATCTCAGCATCTTCATGTCTTCATCTCCCCCCACCCCACCTCAACCCCCTTTGGATGGTCTTCTGTTGCCTTCCCTCCACAGAACCAGCGGTTTCCAAACCCCTGTCCATTGCCAGAACCACAGGGCACCTTTACTCCGGGCTTATGTAAGCCTGGCATCATTTGACCTACCTGAACACTCCTCTCTGCTTGAACCCTTTTTCCTGTCCACGACACGCTCTTGCCCCCCCCCCCTTGATGCCTGCTTCTCAGCACCCCTGCCTGCTTCTCCTCCACCTATACATACCGGGGTTTCTGCATAGCTCTGCCTTTGCTCCTCTTATTTCTCTTGCTCCATTCTAATTGTCTTTTCCCTGTCGCAGAGCCTCACCCAGCATTGTAGCTTCCATTACTATCTATATACCTCAGCTCCCAAATTTATGTCTCTAGCCCAGACTGTCCCTTGGAGTGTCACAACTGCCTAGCCAATTGCCCAGTTTCAGATTTCCACTTAAATGTATCAAACATACATCAAACTTGACAAGTTTCAAATTGAACTCTTCATCTCCTCCCACAAATCTTTTTTTTTTTTTTTTTTTCCTCTCCAGCAATGTTTCTTAACTCCTTAATGGCTCCCCAATGGACCCAGCAGCTTAAGCTGCATTCTGCAAGTCACGCCAGATGCTTACCTGTCCTCATTCCCTCTGTTTAATCTAGCTCCCAAACCTGTCAACTTTACTTCCTTAATACTTCTCCAATTCATCTATTTATCTCCATCTCCATTAACACCAGAAAATCCCAGTCAACAGCAACCCCCTCACAGGATCCCTCACCATCCAGGTTGATCTTCCAATATATTGGCCACACAGCCCAAGAAACAGTTTTAAAACATAAATCTTGTCAGCCCTGACTCTTCCCTTGCCACCACTGCACCGGGGGCTTCTAAGGTCACCCACGGGGGATGTCTACAGACTATCTCCTGACTCCCCTCCCCCAGTCTGTAGGTGTGACCACCGTTCACCGTTTCACCATAATCTTACCTATTTGAGCCTCACCTTTCCGGTCTCCAGTTTGACAGTCCTCTCTGTTCTCAGTTTCACCATAATCTTACCTATTTGAGCCTCACCTTTCCGGTCTCCAGTTTGACAGTCCTCTCTGTTCTCAGATACTTCAAACCCAATCCTGCCACTGCTTACTTTCCTACAGGGACCACATGGCGCAGGGCCCTCCGCCTTCTCCGTCTCTACACTTGCCACTTATGCTGTTTTGTATTTGTTGTTTGCAGGCCTGGCCCCACAGGAGTAGCAGGCACATGGCTGTCCTGCCCCTGCCCACTCTGGTGCCTGATAAGGTGACCACGAATGTCTGGCTTTCCTCCAACCCGAACCCCAGGTCAGCTGTGTGGATCCCTTCCCATGCTGACAAAGCCAAACAGCAGCAAATCCTTGAGTGGTTCTCAAGGCGAGCCAGCTCTTTGGGGGAGGTGACAGAGTTGACTCACTAGGTAGACTTGACCTCTTCCCTAGGAGTCCCTCCAGCATTTGCTAGCATACTTTACAGACCTCTGCCTGAACCGAAGTGACCTGCTACATCCTTGTCCCACTCTTTCAGGAAGCTTTGGTATTTCCAAGAGAGGCCCTTCCCATCAGCCTATTGTTCTTGCTTCCACACTATCCTGTGAAGCTCTTACTGGTGAGGCCTCAGTTCACCAATGTGAAATGGCCCAGAACCTTCTCAAGGAGCCAGTCCAGGTTCTAGAAAGGGGGGGAGGGGGGCTACAAAGACCAACTTGTTTCATAAGAACCAGTAGGGTGGGGATGTCATTAAGTATCTTAGGAATGGCCTAGACTTTATGGAAGGCAAATTGGTTGTGGCTGGCCTTCGGGGAGCAAGCTTTGTGGCAGAATGGATTAGACCAAAAGGTGCTCCTAGTGGACAAACCCAGCAGAAGCCAGGAGATGAGCATGTTCGGAGTCTGCCCACTCCGACAGTAATAACCTAAAGCATTCCTAGAAGAGGTAGATTCAAAGGTCTCCGTGCATCAGGGTGGTGCTTGTGAACACTTTCTGTCCTTACGATGCAGGACCGGGTGGACCAGTAACCACTTCTCTCGGAGGAAGGGACTTATTACACCCTGGCCATGTCTGTCTCCAGCAGAACCAACCTTTCCTGCTCTTTGCGCAGTGACACACCTCTCCGAGGAAGGAGGAGTACGGGATTTCCATCATTATCATTGCCCTATTAAAAAAAAACACATACACACACACACACACAAACAAAACAATTAATTACTCTCTGCAGGAAAGGCGCATAAACAGGATGAGTGTAAACTGAATCGTGGGGTGAGCCATCCCTGTAAAGATTAGGGTACCTCCCCATCATGTACCCGCCTCCAGGTCACGGCTTAGGGTGGGAGGTAGGCTCCCTGCTGCTGATCTTCCGCATCCTCCGGCTTGTCAACTCTCTGGGTCTGTCTGCCACGCCTCAGGTGTTTGCAGGCGGCGGACCACGAATCCTTTCTTTTTGTCTAGCCTCTCAGAGCAGCCCCCAGACCGAAACTCACCTCCAACCTGGCAGCCAGGAGCCGAGATCCAAGAGCACTCACGGCCTGGGCTGCCCGCAGGGGGCGAGGGCCTCCTCCACCGGGTCTTACGCACCCACCTCGTAAGACCCGGCTGCCTGCGGCGCGCCACGCCCCCGGGGTCCGGAAGGCGCAGCAGCTCGCTCCGGGCTTCTGAGAACTTGGAGCCTGGTGGCGCGCTGCTCGGCCGGGGATGCGGCGGCGGCTGCTTCCTGGTTCGCAGCTCGCCGAGTGGGGGAGAGCGTGAGCCCGCGGAGGCGGGGGCAGGAGGAGCGGGCGGAGGCGGGGGCAGAGACGCCAAGGCTGGAGCTAGCCGGACGGGTCGCTCCTGCTCTCCGGGCGGACGATCTGCCGGGCCCCGGAGAAGAGGCGAGCCCCGCGCGATCCAGACAGACGGTCGGGAGCCCATCAGCCCGCCGAGGGCTCGGAGCCCGGCTCCCCTCCTTTCCACCTCGGGAGAAAGGGCGGGAGGGAAGGAGGGGAGGGGAAGGTTCTTCGGAGGAGGCGGAATGGCCGGTCGCGGGGGGCTCGGGCGCTGCTTCTCCCGGGAGCTGCCTCCACGCCTGTGGCTGCGGCGAGGGCTGCCCTGAGTCCCGGCTCCCCGCTCTCCGGTGCCAGCTAGCGAGGCCCCCACGGGGCTCCGGCAGCAGCGCCGGCATGTCGTCTGGCACAATGAAGTTCAATGGCTATCTGAGGGTCCGCATCGGAGAGGCTGTGGGGCTGCAGCCCACCCGCTGGTCCCTGCGGCACTCGCTCTTCAAAAAGGGCCACCAGCTGCTGGACCCCTACCTGACGGTGAGCGTGGACCAAGTGCGCGTGGGCCAGACCAGCACCAAGCAAAAGACCAACAAACCCACCTACAACGAGGAGTTCTGCGCCAATGTCACCGACGGCGGCCACCTGGAGCTAGCCGTTTTCCACGAGACACCCCTGGGTTATGACCACTTTGTGGCCAACTGCACGCTGCAGTTCCAGGAGCTGTTGCGCACGGCGGGCACCTCGGACACCTTCGAGGGCTGGGTGAGTAGCGATCGTCTCGCCCCTTCATGTCTGCGGGACCTTTCCTCCTTTTGTTTGTTTGTTTGTTTGTTTTTTAAACTCACCAGGGTCCAGCTTTCTCATCGCTCCGCCGCAGAGGGAATTCCCTCTAGACTTTGGTCCTTTCCCAGGTGACCTGCACTGTTGGCGGGATAGCCGTGCTGTGGGTGTGTGCGGGCACAGGTGTGACTCTGGAAAGCCGGTGTTGGCACCAGCGTCTTTGTTAACCTGGACTTTGTGCGGAGGGGAAAGCCTGGCAGCGATGCAGAGCACCATCCTCCTCCTTCTCGTCCTTCCCTCAGAGTAGGGGGCTTAGGAATCTGAACTCTCAGCTCAGGGGTAGACATTAAAGACAGGGGTGATAAGAAAGTGAAATGGTTTGAGTAAAGTGCTTCAAGCACTTCTTAGGAGAACGCCATACATTCTCGCGAGCATTATTCATAGTGTTTATGGATGCATGTTGGTTCAGCCACACAGACGTGCACACGTGTTTCAGCATGCACATCCATTACATCCCAGAGGTACAAAAGCTACACTGGCAGTGATCAGAATGAGTGCATGGCTTTGCACCCTGGCAGACTTTTGTTTAGCTTTTTTTTCCGGGGGTGGGGTGAAATTTCGCAGTGTTTGCTATGAAGTTTAGTCAGCCTGGGGTGCACGAGGGCTGCAATAGTGTTTCCAAACTGTGCCTCTGAGAAGAGGTGGCCAGAGCACCTTAGGTTCGGTTGTCCTCCTTCAGCGATAACATGTAGCTGCTCGCAACTTCTTACAGGCCCTGGCTGTTCCCATAGGTCCCTGGAGACAGAATTTCTACTGTAAATTTCTAGAGTACCTCACACAGTGCCAAACACCCTTATTTCTTAATCCTCCTCACTCTGCCTTTGTGATGTGATGCTGGTTATTGTACTCACTCTGAGGTGCTGAGATAATTACAATGAGGTGGTCTGGCAAAGTGTAGTATGCCCTAAAGACTCTTAAGTTTAATGATGGTCTCAGTTCTGACAGGAGTGGTTTTGGAAGCCGAGGTGAATCGGTATTCAAAATCTGCTTGAAATTCTCTAGTGGTGGAACAAGATGGATAGTGACAGAGATTCATTGAGATATGTATTTTATGCTTTGGGGTGTTGTTAATTTTTACCATATGTTCTGTAATAGCACCAAAGGCCTGAAAGGCTTTGTCCTTTAAATGGAAGTTAAGGGGAAAAAAAAAAATCCATGTTTTTTTTTTTTTTAACCTCAGTTTTCAAATTATGGGGTTAATTTCACCTCAGCCTAACTTTCTTTTTGGAATTTAGTCCTGGGCTAGACAGGACCCGATAAAATACAGTTAAAAAGTAACTTGGTTGTTGGTTTAAGGCAGGGTCTTCCACAGTAGCTCAGGCTGGCTTGAATTTGGGACAATACATTTGCCTCTGCTTCCCAAATAAGTTTATATGTTGTCTGTAAGTTTCTGGATATGGAATCGAATTGAGCATGGGAATTTTGAACTAGTGTTTGGTTAAGAGTTAGGCTGGGCAAATCTCTAGAGGAATTAGGTGCTGGAGTTTGGTGGTACAGGCTGGCCATCAGCCATGATAAGCATGGCTTAATGGAGACAGCCCAGATTAGCCTGCAGGTTTGAGTCCCGTGGGAGCTTTTAAACACCTCTGCTTTTAAATATGCTAGATAGGGACCTCTGGTTACAGACTTCCTAGGTGACAGGAAAAGTAGTTAAGTTCGAGAACATAGAGCAGAAATGAAGACTTAGGCATGAGGCTGTGATAAACCCTCAGTGTAGGGTTAGCGAACGAGGAGGAGCATAGAGCTGTTTATTGTTGCAGGGGATGAATGAAGATTTAAATGTGAATTAAAGTTCAACACCTATATTTGCTTAAAACTATGCCTAGACGTTTAACGGGACCCACTGATAGCATTCATGGAAAACGTCAATGATAAGATAGGGCCAGCATTTAAAAGACCAGTGGTTTGCCATGAATATCTTATATTCACTTAGATGGCGATATGTATGTATGTTCTAAGAGTTTTGAAACTTAGGATAGACTGACTAGAATGTTTCTTTTCTTGTCAAAAAAATAGATGAGGGAGCTGGAGGGATGGTTAAGATCTGTTCTTCCAGAGGGCCTGGGTTCAATTTCCAGCACCCACTTGGAACACTTGTCTCTAACTCCAGTTTCAGGGGAGCTAACACCCATGGCAAAACACCAATGTGCATAAAAATAAAATAAAACATCTTTAAAGGAAAAAATACATGGAACTATGTGGAATGTATTCTTCAAAATTATCTTTTATGGACAGTAGAAATATCTACGTTTGCCCATCAAATTCAAATGTGTAATTTGTTCACCATTCAAGTGAAAGAATAAAAATTATTCTGGTTGCAAGTAGAACTACAAATTTCTGACCTAAAAAAAAAAAATCTAGCAACTGTTGGATCATAAGAACGTTTACTATAAAACAGTTTTTCCCATTAGAATCACCCAAGAAACCTATGCTTCACTGCCCTAGATACTTTCCAAGTACCAAGAAGGTAACCAGTAATACTGACTTTATTATGGCCTTATTGGTGTTGTACACCTGGTGCCTATCCCGGTGTCTGACGAGGGATTTTTATTAACTGTATGGTCATTTCACTCAGTATATATAAGATAAATGAAAGTGGTAAGATACAGGTAAATTAAATGGAGATCAATCATACCAGGCACTGAGATTAGTAAGACCTCAAATCTCAGATCTGTGTTTTCACCTTGAACCCAAAGAGCAAATTGAGCTAAGAGTAAGGAAGTTGGTAAAGATAACCGAAATTGGCCAAGTAGAAAACAGGAACTCAATAGAGAAAAAGCAGAGTTTTTCTCTTTTTCAGTTGATAAGCCTCAAGCTATAATGGTGAAGATGAGAGCATGCAGGACATAAGTTACCACCGATCGGAATGGAATGAGAACATCACTACAGAGCCTGCCAACATTATAAAGGCAGATACACGTGTGTTATACACAGGGTTATGTCAGCGAGCACTGCAGTTCAGATGAAATTCATAGGTTGCTTTAAAATACATAAACTGCCCAATTCTTTTCGAATAACTTAAGTGGTTTTATAACCATTAAACTAATTGTGTTTATAGTTAGAAGTCTTCAACAATACAATTCAGTGTCCCAGATGGCTTTAATAATAACTTATATTATGTACTTAAGGATGCATTATTATCTGTTTTATACAGGTCCTTTCAGAAAATAGAAGAGACTGAAATGTCTTAATTCATTATTTGAAACAACTCCAAAGCACAATGAAAGCATTCCAAACCAAGACAGCTGCAGGCAGGTATCATCCTTCATGACCTTAGATGCAAAAGCTTTCAATTGTAGTCAGTTAAATCAAACAGCATAGCAAGCAGATAGTACACTGTAACCAAGTGAAGGTTATATACAGGACTATAAGGCTGATTAAGTGTTTGTAGAACTACCCGTGCATTCCTTGTGTGGACAGTGTCAAAGTGAAGGCTTGTATGATCACCTCAATAGATAGAGAAAAAGAACCATCCATTCAGGATAAAGTTTCTCAGCAAGTTAGAAACAGGAAGAAACATCTTCACCCCTATAAAGGCCATCTATGCAAACAGTCTTAGTGGTGATAAGAGTGAATAATATTCCCCTATGATCAGGAATAAGACAAGGGCATTGCTTGATCTGCTTTTTCCACACTGTCCAAGAGTACAACAAGGAAGTTTAAAAAAAAAAAAAAAACCAAAAAAAGTGTACGGATCACAGAGGAAGAAGTAAAACAATCTTTATTTGCAGACAAAAAAAGAAAAAAAAAGTTTAGCAAGTTTGTATGATCCAAACTAATGTACAAAAACCAATTGTATTTCTATATTATTAGTAGTGAACAACTGGAAACTGAAATTAAAAATACCACATGTAAGAAAATTGAAGATGAAATTGGATGAATTAGAATAGATGCGAGACTTTTTCAGTGAAAATGATAAAACATTGCTGAAATAAAGATCTAAGTAAATGGAGAGTATGATGTATTCATGACTGGAAGGGTTCTGAATTATTAAGAATTCTCTTCTTCCAAAATATCCAGTAGATTTAAAGCAGTCTCATGATCTCAGGAAGGCTTGTCGTAGAAATTGATAGACTGATACTAATTTATATAGGGATATAAAGGACTTATATTGGTCTAAGAATTATTTTTAAAAAGAACACATTAAAGGATTTGCACTATCTGATTTTAGAGTTTATTGTAGTATATAGACCTAATGTAAGAGCCTGTCAGATTTCCGTAAAAAAAATTATAGCAGAAAAGCCTTAATAATTTCAAGTTCATCACAAAAAAGACGAAGGGAAGATATCAATCCTAAAGCCCCAATTATTGAAAAGATAAAGCTGTATAAAACTAAAGAAAAATTACTTCTTAAAAGATGTCCAAGACTATGAAAACATGAGCCAGTGCCTGGGAGTAAATAATTACATAACATGAATTAGGCAAAGCACTTGCAACAATAACTGTAAAATATTGACAGCAATCAGAAAATCCCAATTTGTGCAATTAAAAAGTGGGTCATACATAGTATTTGAATAAGTACCTCTGTAGGAAATAGCATATCGTAATATACTCCATCATC